GAAGTTGAGGGAGCTGGGCTTGATCAGCCCACAGAAAAGAATGATGAGGAGAGATAATGATGATCTTACATGTCTTTTCCAACCTAGTAGATTCTATGATTCTATACTATTGCTGTCTACAACAACCTAATGGGGATACGAGAAGAGAGAGCCAGGCTGTCCTTGCAGGCAGAGAGGCACAGAACACAGCTGACCCACAGTAGGGTTAGCACACCTGGATCCTTCCTGACTGAGACCACAAGCACAGCTGTTGCTCCCATGGTGAGCTAAGGAAAAGAGGTGGGCAAGGGGATAAGGCACTACTTTTATCAGACCACTGACCTAGCTGGAAAAAGCAGGCAAGCTCTTCCTACAGTTTGTCTAGTCTGTCCTTGACTGCATTTGTGTTAAACATTATTTGGCCATTTGTATTTTGGTCGTTGTTACATTAGGAGTCAACAAGCTTCTATAAAACATGCAAAAAAAGCCACTGATAACTCAGTTTCACAAGTAAACTTTAGGGTCCCATGACTACGTTTCTGTTTATGAAAATAATGTGTTCATGTAAACTCGATGTGATTAAAATCAGGCTGTGAAAACAATCAGATCCCCCTTTCATTAGCAGACTCTGCAGGAGAGCAATACCGTTATTTGTCCTGTCTGAGCAGTGTATAATACTTTGCAGCACTTAACAACATTATTTAGACCTCGGGTGCAGAGTCAGCTCTTCAGAAGGAAACAGGATGAGACACCACTCTTACAAAGGTTGATATTTACGTGAAGAGAAAAACATGGAGGTTTGGAGACCTAGGGCTGTTAACAGCTTACAAGAATTCCGCATTTATTATAATGAATGAAAAAGAGGTGAAACCAATACATTCCTGGTCCAGTAGAGTGTGAGCCCAGCACCAGTGTGGCAGTCAGAGCTCACACCTGTGTGTTAGACACTTGACACTTTCCCCTAGGGAGGTCCCCGTGGTGCAGAGTCCTGTCTGGCATGACTACTGCTCAGGCAGGGCTGAGCAGCTCAGGACCTGTGCAACTCAGGCTCTGCAAAGTCAGTTTCTTTGCTGTTCAGTCTGTCAAGATACACCAAGCATAAACCTATCAGTATGAGATGCGGCAACCTAAGAAAGCTTCAGCTCGTCTCTGCTGTGCTCTTAAGCATTCCATGGGTTCAACTGACTTTATGCATTGGCAGTGCCAGTGCATGTCTGCCCAAAACACACCTTGTAGACAAACTCACAGCAGCTCAACGTAAGATATCTCCATCTTCAGTTCTCTCACTCTAACTTTCCATCTGGCAAACTGGAAATGTAGTATGTCCCTATTTCACTTGGACATCACAGGGGTAAATACATTCACAGTTCAGCAGCAAACGAGTATGCAGGTCCTCAAGGCAAACTGGCTGCTATTTATAAGGTATTTAATGAATGAATGATACAGAAAAGGCTCTTAAAACCAGACAAGATGCAAAAAGGGTTAAAAAGATTAAAAGTATACTCTATGTGAAAGATTCTTGTTGTTACTCCTTTTCTGATGAAACTTTGTCTTTAGCAAAGCTTTGTCTCTCTGTCAGTTCCACATATTTCTCTTCTTGGTGTTCCTTAACCCCGTGGTAGTGACTTTTTGTCATGCTTTATAGTTTAATAAATAAATAAATAAATAAATAAAATCACCAGATGACTTCTAACAATGATTCATGTTAATGTTATTGCTCATTATTATCATTTGTCATATGAGACTATGCCTGGTTGGGCATTTTTCCTCTTTTAAAAGAGAACTCTGGCTCAGCTCTGGAGGCTTCACATTCTGTTTATTATACTAGCTGAAACATGTTTATTACACTGTCATGTTTTTATATCCCTCCTGCTACTTTGTGCAAAGCATACTTTTGCTCTGACCAAACTGTGAAAATTCTGCAAGGTTTTGCCCTCCCTGATCGAGCCATTGATCTGCCGAGTTCAACAGCCTCACGTGATGGCAGCCAGTGTCTGACCCAGCAGATTGTCCTCCACTCTCAGTACCACACCTAATCCTGAGAGGCACTCCATGGGGAAGATGTCTTCATCAATTCCGGTCCTAATTCATGAGATTTCCTGAGTTTCAAGCTCTGTCTTTTCCTAAAATATGTTAGAAATGGTTGTGTACTGCTTGTCTGCATGGTTGTTTCTGTAACTACATTCAATCAAGAGGAGAAGCCGAAGCAGATATATGTAATGGATAAAAATAACAGTGATAAAGCAATAGTAATGACAACCCTATTTTCATGTTGCAGCTGCAATGGATTTGTGCAGAACCTTGGCCAGGGGGCTTTCCAGGCACTTTCCTTTTGGACCCCTGAGCCATGCTGACTCCACAGCTTGATGGCAAGGAGTCTGCCAAGAGACTTTCTAAACGCAAATAGCAATCAAAGAAAGTCACCTTATGGGAACTCAGTCACCCTTGATATCTCCTCAGTTGTGGAGCTTATCTGAAAGACCAAAAACCTCTACCTTTTGCACCTGGCATTTGGAAATGTGAATGTTCCCTCCAGAATTCTGCCATTAGATCTAACAGATTGCATTACTTCCCCTTTGGTAAACAATCGGATGTTGCTAGAAATGCCCTAAAGATTTGTTGTGGCATGAAAACCTCCCAGACAGTTTTCTTGGTTTGCAGTGTTGTCAGTATTTATTGTGACTGCCACAGAACCAGAAAGTTTATACAGGCATGGTCAGGACGCCACACTTGCAATTCCCATAGAGTTACATACAACACTCTCCTTTTACTTTTGAATTTAAGAGATATTGCATCAGAACTGGCGCCAGTGAGACAGGTTTTTCAAACTGTTCAAACACTGTTGGGAAAGGAAGGGAACCAGTGACTGATATATCTGGGCTCCTGCTTCTTGCTCCAGAGACCCTGGCTGTGTTTGAACCCTGGAGGAGCGATGCTAAGGCTATAGTCCCACAACTCTCTTAAGTCAACATAAGCAAATGCTGATGCTTAAAGAGGCAGTGCCAACTCCCACTGACCTAATCACTGTTTTCACTGTCCTTGCTTTCCCAGTGACTTCAAATAGTCATATAAATACATACAGGAGAAAAAAAAAGGGGGGGAAGGGGCTAGTTTTAAACCAGACATTGCCCTGTTCCCACTCACCATGTGGCTGCACGAATATGTGGCAGAAAGAAGGCAGAGAAATATACATGGCAGTAACCAGGCAGAGGACTGAAAGGTAAGGCAGGACTGCTTATTCCAGTTTAAACTGATTGTGGAGCTAGTGAGTAACCTACAGCAGTTGAAAAATGTTGAAAAAGGCTAATGAGGAATGGAGGGTGGGTGTGCAAAAAGGGGGACGCAGACTTCCCTGGTCCATTATGTCTAGATTAGGCAGATAAAATGAAATCAATTTTGCGATGCTGGAAAAATGACATTAGAAATGTTTAAGCTAGTCTAAACGTAGCTGAAGCACCCTTCACTTACAAAGTAAGTGCTTCACATTATCTATGAGGACATCCAAAATCAAGTACTGATAATTCCTAATGAAACACAACCTAGTCAAGTTTCTCTTTTCAATCAAAACAGTTGTCTCCTTTACTTAAATGAAAATCACTTGCTTCGTAAAAAGTTTTTATGTTTCAGAAAATTATATTGAGAATAATGTTTCTTAATAATGACTCTTATAACGGCATTACTTAAAACAATTAAATCAATTAGTTCAATAAAATCCTTCAACTGAACTGCAATATTTTGGCACTGTGACTGACTGAGTTTACTGCTTTTCCAATTAATTAAAGACTGGTTCCTTTAGAAATTACACTCTGCTGCTCTGCAGCAAGAACATTTTCCATTACTCATCCCCCACTGCTGTCAAAGGGCCTTTATTGCTGGCTTTTCATTCTCTCTTCAATCCTAAATTAACATAGTTTATCACAATCTTTGCTAGGTAGAACTGTTGGAGAAAAATTGATTTTGAATTCTATCCATGTTAAAACTTCATTGACATCAGCAAGTCCAAGAAGTAATACTACTAGTCACTGAAGCTTCATGCCAGCCACAACCACCAAATGGTTTTGGCTTAATTTTAAATACTGTAGCTGTGGCTGTTCAGCAACAAGTAAAAGCACCAAAAAGAGGGATAAAAAGGTAACTGTTTATCACAAAATAGCATAAAGAATCTTTTCATAGACCAAGTAATCAAGCTCCTGTCAAGATGAGATAATTGTCAATCAAGTTCTCAATTCAAACACAGCTGCTAAAAATCAGACAGATGAAGCCAGACACCACTGTAGTTTGAAAACCTAACTCCGAAGTGAGTACAGTCTTGGCAGTAGCTGAGATGCTGTTGTAACTCTGTACAGTTGTAAAAGCACTCAGAAAAGAAGTTCAAATTGGAGATTTTTGTCTTTCTGAAGCTGAAAAATAATATACTTACCATTCTGGTTAAAATGGTAGCTAATGAGAAAAAATTCTATTAGTATATTACCTTAAAAAAAGAATAAATAAAAAAAAATGAAGTACTAAAGAATAAGTGTTCTTCACTTCCACTAAGCAATTAGTATTTCTTTAAATCAAATCCTATCCGTAAAAGTATTTTCCTGGTTCAGCAGACTGAACAGCAGAGACAAGTGTGAGCGCACTTCAGTGAGCAGTGACCATTCCTGCAAAGGCTCTTGCTTCTCCACATTGCTCATGCCTATTGAAAGTAACAGGAGTTACATATACAAGTATTTTTTTTTTTTTGCAAATGTTAAAAAATATTTAGCATAACTTTTTTCACTTAAACTACTTGAACCTGCTAAGAACAGATTAAAGTAAAATCTGGAAATCAGCAGTTCTCACAGGAAATTAGCATTTTACTTTTAGGTGCTGCACATTCATACACCACTATTGTTTCTTATGCCGTTGTGTAATTCTACACAAATATTGATTAGTAATTTCGTAAATCTGAAAACCACAATTCCCAGGTGATGACCATGACCCTAGAAAAAGTCTAGAGAAAACAACCTCATTACGAGACGTACCTTGCAATAGATGTTTATTTAACGGGAAACCCGCAAGAGCAGCTGCCCAGTGCAACAGTACATATTTGCTTCTGAATCCTTTCTCAAAGGCACTATTTAAACATGTTGATGAACTGAGCTGAATTTCTCCCCACCTCCATTCCAGCAAAACAAGGAGACTCAGAAGATAAAGTTTGTTTTGCTATTGCAAGCAGTGCTATGTGGTAAGTGAGAAAATTACTTTCTATAGTCATACTTAAATATGAAAGTGGAAAACTTCCATATTCTTGTACAGATGCAATGTCCGTGTGTACTATTCAGTGACATTTCTATTTGCAAATTAATATATTACTATTTCTAGAAGTGTTTGTGTGTAGAGCTCTTTCTTATCCATATTTGGCTTGATATGAAAGATCAGACTACTCTAGCTTCACCACTTTGGCAAGAGGGAAACAAGAATTACTGTATAGCTAATATCAGGCCAATTCAAGATATATGACTTGTTTCAGATCTGGTTCTGATTCACGTTAAACTGTGAACAACTGAAATGATTACAAGGGTTTTATTACATGTGCAGCTGAACTAGCTACAGCTAAATTTTTTGGAGCATCCTGAACTGCAACAGTGACAACAGATTTTTCAATTGCTAAGTTCAGTCTTTTGACCTAGAGGGGAAAGTTTGTGTCTCCTGAGCCAGTCAAACTTCACACTTCCATTCTGGGCTGTGTTTTAACCTTTCTTCTGCCAATGTCTGGATTGGAATCCCTTCAGCCTGTCAACACCTAACTTTAATTAGCTGAAGGAATTTCTCAAAGTGCTCCTTCTCACTTGGAGATGTTTCTGCAATCATTCTAGCTCAAAAAAAAAGAGGAATTGGGAGTGATGCAAGGCAGGTCATCAGTGGGCCATGGCTGAGGTGCTCTTCTCCTCCACCACTGACAAACAATGTAGGTTTTCAGAAAGGACATGATCCAATGTCTCATCTACTCCTGCATGAAGTTGGTCACGTGTTTCTCTTGCATGGAGGAAGATCTGAACTATTTAACTATAAGTGCCACAAAACCAAACTTTCTGAGAGCAGAAAAGAATGTTTTCCATAGTAAAACAGAAGCCAAAAAGCACAAGATGAGTCATGCTTTTAAGATGTGTGAGTTCTGTGACACCTCATTCCAACAAAACTGAAAATGTCCATCAGCCACTTTTTCACTTGCTTTGTGTTTTCACTTACATAGGTATCTGTAGGCAATAAACCATAAAGTAGAAACATGGACTGAACCCTGAGCTACTTATTCAAGATAAATTCTTATTAGTGGCAAAGGAAGATCCGTTTGAGTAACTTTATCTCTTATTTATTTCACTGTAAAAGGAAAAAAAATACTAAAAAATCATATTCCTGCAGCATCCAGAAATTTTGCTCATCTCAGTTACAATAATCACATTGCTCACTAATCTGGTTTGAAAGCAGAGGGGTGAACTCATACTTCCTACCAAGACCTGTAGTGAGCTTGAGGAGCAAAGGGTAATTCCTTAAATATCAGTCTTTGTTTTCATAGTGGAGTTATCTGACTCTTATTAACTTACCTTGTCTTTTATCCTCCAATTCAGTGTCTTTAACACTAATTTCTGAAACATGAATTTTAAATTTTCAGATCTAATGGCTGGATTAATTAAAGAAAAAAAGGAGAAAATGAGCTATATTAGGAATCAGAAGTGCTCTGTAAATTAAGGTCATAGATTGCTAGATAAGCAGGAATCTGTTATGCTTTTTGTTGTAATGTTATGAATTGTTTTTTTACTTTGAAGCAAACTTTATCTTGATGTAAAATGGGATAACTCTACCATATATATCAGTACATAGAGAAACTGACCATAGTGTTATGAAATCCAAATCATCAAGACTGTTGGAACAAGTCCAGGGGAGGGCCATGAGGATGATCAGGGGCTGGAGCACCTCCCATATGAAGATAAGCTGAGAAAGTTGGGGGTGTTCAGCCTGGAGAAGGCTGCGTGGAGACCTCATAGCAAGCTTCCAGTATCTGAAGGGGGCCTATAGGGATGCTGGGGAGGGACTCTTCATTAGGGACTGTAGTGACAGGACAAGGGGTAATGGGTTAAAACTAAAACAGGGGAAGTTTAGATTGGGTATAAGGCAGAAATTCTTTCCTGTTAGGGTGGTGAGGCACTGGAATGGGTTGCCCAGGGAGGTTGTGGATGCTCCATCCCTGGCAGTGTTGAAGGCGAGGTTGGACAAGCCTTGGGTGACATGGTTTAGTGTAAGGTGTCCCTGCCAATGATAGGGTGGTTGGAACTGGATGACCTTAAGGTCCTTTCCAACCCAAACTATGATTCTGTGATTCTAAGACCTGATGTTAATCTAGACTACTACTACTTGTAACACTCACCAGTGGCAGTGACATATGAGACATTTTTCAATAGTTTCCTCCCTATTTCACAAGGATTTTATGAAATTCAGTTCATGCAGACATCTGACCTCAATGTAATATTCTTAAAAATTCTTAACCCATTCCTTCATAACATAATTTTTTAATTACTTTCTTCAAACTCTGAACTCTTTAGCTATCATAGGGTCTAGCATCTGACATGTAACACAAGGATGGTCCTTCCATGATTTGAAAGTGAAATTCACAATATTGACAAGATGATGAATCTTCCCCTCCTTTGAACTTTACACACTTGGATAACACTATGATATTTTAGCAATGAAACTTATCATACCATGGTTCTGAATTTTTGCTTTCTGGTGTTGATATTTACACCAATAGACTAAAATAATGTCAAATTATGTACTAAGGGTGTCTGTTGCATGACTTTCAAGGTCTGGAATCTGTGGCTTACTGGTGGTTCGTAAGAATTTTGGTAAAGTTGTAACACCCAAGATCATATTTCCAGATTTACATCATAGATTTTTGATCAGAAAAGAAAAAAAGTAACAGCAAGAAGTCTTAGCTACCAGTGAGTTTCACAAAGAAGAGCTAAATTTATCACAAAACAAAAACAGTGAAAATGTACAGTTGACTTCAGAATGATCTATTGTGTCTCATACAATTGCGCATACAATAAATAGTATCACATTTGTTCAACATTTTAAGCATGGATCAAGATTTTTCCCATTTCTTGTAGGTCTTCTAGTCCACACATTTGTCATCTCAAGGTTATATACTTTGAAAGCATTCTGGTTGGTACTGTCCATAGAGAAATCGAAGTGTCAACTGTTTCAACATGTGGGCGCTAACCTGCTAAGGGATGAAGGGCAGTTGTTCTAAACACATCACGCTGGTGTATCTTACTGTTTTCAGCTGCTTTTTTCAAGATAGTTCAGCTACTACCTTCTAAGATTCATATATCTGAAAAACTCATGTGTGCCTTATTATGAGTGAGATTGACAGAGCTGCCATGCTTTGCTGTTATTACATAGGTATTCACCCTCAGGGTCTGAAAAATGTTTTCCAATAAAGACCCTTAAATGCAGAACTTAGACCTCCCATTCCAGTCCTCTTTGCTCAATTTTTTCCATATAAGTGAAGAAAACAGATAGATAGAGAAAGAATATGCTGACTCGCTGTTTTAGAAAGATTTCTTTGCACATTGATGTATATGACTGAAGACAACTGGTATGGAAAATACGCATATAGGATCTTAATGGGAAAAAAACCGATGTATTACTACTGCTTCATGGTGATAATTCTTTTGAACAATGGATAGGTTTGTACTCTAGTCATATTTTAGTTGTAGGTGGGTGCCACAAGACATGCAGAATTCATTATGTTCTATTGTTTGTTTACATTACTGGACACTGTTTTCTAATATTTTTACTGTTGCTTCTTGTGACCCTAATCCTTCAGTGCTGGCTTGGGTTTGGAAAGAAGGCCTTACAGCAGAAGGCTGAAAGTGCATGATCTATTTCTCATCTTCTAGAGCTATAATACTTGACTTTTTGGAGCTTTAGCTATGTCCTATGTGGTGCTGCAGAAACTGAGCAGCAATTTAGGCAGTAATCCAAACACTGTAGTACTTAAAATTGGAGCCACCTCCTCAAACACCTTCAAAGTTATTTCAGTGATCTCTTTGACTCCATTTAACATGAAGGCCTTGATTTATGTCATGTAAAACCTCACCCTCTATAGTTTATGCCAGGGCAGCATCTGAAACACATCACATCTCTCTCTGTCTTACTATAGGAGTAAATTCTCAAAAAATAGCCTTCCCTTCTCATTACCAGTTACTAATGTACATTTAGGATATGTTTGAGTTACTCTATCCAACCATGTTCTTCCTCACTTTCGGGAAAGATGTGTTTGTTCAGCCACACTGTTCAGCCAATTTAGTAATGAGTGTCCACTCTTACTAGCTGACATGAAGCACAGAAGAAATTGTTCCACTTAAAGGTTTAGTCTTCACAAGGTCAACATGCAAGCACATATGCAAGTTCCAGCATAATTTTCTGTAAATTGTGACTTTTTCACCCAGGTCCTTAAAAACCCAAATTTTGAGTAAAAATGTATATATTTAGAAATTCTTTTGCATCAGTTTTGTTTCAAAAATATGATTATCTAAGGGATTTTGCCAAAGATAGATATTTCCTACAAATGTCATTTTAGTTAAAAAGAAAAAACAACTCACAGAAGGAAAACATTTAATCAGGTCAACTGACAAATTTATACAACTGCATAATGCAAGAGTTATCCTGACATACACAGGGGAGCTCACAGAGAAACATATTCTCAGAAAGTTACCTACTCTTTTTCAAAGTAATTGATTAGAAAAATAAATAGGTGCCAAAAAGATAAAAGTATTTGATTACTTCTAGCAACACACTCCCTCCTTATGCGTTATCCTGGGGAATGACTCAAATAATTGCTCAAGAAGAATGCACTGGAGTTTACAAATTAAATTTCTCATGACATTTAGTAAAATTGAATCACTGAATACAAGAACTAACAGTCTAAGGTTCTCCTTTACACAAAAGTGTCTTTATGCCACTCCGGCAGTAGAGAAGGTCTATAAGAGAAGTAATGCAATTAACTCCCGACTGAGTGCCCACTGGCACAGACTGGAACAGTGAAATAAAAACTAACTCTGAAATCTTTCTAAAGATGTTTCTAACTGAAAAGTTCTATAATTGTCTTAGTCAAAGTGACTAGCTACTCAAGAATAGAAATAAATCCAGATTTTTTACTTCATTTTTATAACAGAGGGCTTGAAA